TTTTTTTTGAAACAATAATTATATTAAAAAACTCAAAGGAGTATGAATGAGAGGTGTCAATTGATACCAAATGAACTAGAAAACCTTGGCCTACCCCCATTAGAATAACATCAGAGTCCAAGGGGTACCACCTTCATCAAAAAGAAAAAAATCAATGCTAAAACACAACTTTATAAAAGGAGACTACAACTCCATGAAAGAGACTCAGTGTCAGACGCCGATGAATTTCACTAACCAAAACAAAAACAAAAGAAAAAGCAACACACACCTAATACATAAATAGAGTAAAACCTTCCATAATCTTAACAGATGAACCACACGACCACCTAAACTGACAACTGAGTCCCAAACCACAGCTAAGAAATACAACAGAGCAACACAACTAGACTCCAAACTTAAAAATTGCGGTTACTCAAACCGTCTAGTCAGATGTCCAGACTAGATCTGGACTTCGCTGGACGTCGGCACCAGGAAAAAGAGGGGGAGCCGCTAAAGACACCGAAGGGTTCGAGACAAGACTACAGAGAGGCACTGCCTAGAGCTGTGAGAAGTCGTGCCGCTCGTTGACCCGTCGGCCTGGCCGTACTGGGCACAAAGGCTCGAACGCACAGTGCACAACCAACCTATAAGAAAAAGAAAAAAGGTATATAACTGATACTCTGCAGCACGCCGAACTCCCACGGTCGCAACAAGCGACACTCCCACGGTCGCAACAAGCGACGACATCTCTGGAAGTCGAGGAGAAAGGTTGAATGACGAGAATCACCGACGGCCATGACACCCACAAAGCTCTGATCAAGGTAGAAAAGAGTGCCCTAGTCGTGCCTCGGCTTACGCCGGCCTAGTTGTCAAAACAGTCAATCTACCGATAGAAAGGGGGCTACGAATACGGAAGTAGACGAGGGTATAATTTGGGAATTTTTCTTGCTTCTTTGAGAAGTTGTGCGACCCATTTCATCTCTAACTCTCAAGTTGCGAAGATGCTCTTTTATTCCAAACTTTCGAAACTCGCCAAAAAGAAGCAAAATAATCAAAAAACGATAGACTCAGCTTAGACGACGGGCATACTTGGAAAGGCAAAATTCCCCAAATTCCAAACCCTAGAACCCAATCTTGATTTTACCGCCAAAATTTCCGATGCTCCTATCCCATCATCTGCCCCATCTTAAGGCTCTCCCAAACCCGTACCCGACCCGCACCGTCGTCACCTTCCACTCGCCAGTCCCTACGAGGGTACCATTTCCATGGCCGGGTCACCCGACCCGAAACTTCAAGGCTTCTCCTCTTCTATGCTCGCCACAGCCTCGATTCTCCTCGTACGAAGTTGGGAGCAGTGCGGAGGACTTCAACGTGGAGCTCGGACGGCTGCTTGCTCTTTTGCCTGAGGACATGCGGCGGAAGGCCAGCGAGCATCCGGAGCTCCAAGACCTGATTGAGGTGGTCATGGATTTGGGCCGGAAGCCCCTAGCTCGTTTCCCGTCCGGGGACTTTGTGCTGTCGGATCACCCTATTACAATGGAGGAAATCCAGCATGCCACGTCACATGTGTGGTGTTGATGCTGCGTTTTGTTGTTTTTCAGTTTGAAGGAGTGGATGTTTATTTTCTGCCATGTTCAGTTTAGTGTTGCAGCTAGCTGAGAGTTGATGTTGCATGATGCTGCAGGTTGGGGATTTTGCAGTTGATAATCGAGCTGGGATTAGCCGAACTTTGCACCGTATTAGTGGAATTCGAAACAGGAAAGGCTTGATTATTGGATTAACCTGCCGTGTAGGTCGTGCGGTTTCTGGTAGTGCTAATTTGTTGCGGGATTTAGTAAAAGATGGGGGCTCTTTGTTGCTTATTGGGCCTCCAGGGGTGGGAAAGACCACGATTATCAGGTCAATATATGCACTTTTCTGGTTCTTTTATCTCTTTCAAATTGAATTTGAACAATAAATTACTTGATGATGTAACCCTACACAATCTCATTTCATATGCCACTAGTTCATAGTAAGTTACTTTTGGTGGTTCCTATTCTTCTACCTTTTTTCTGTATGTTGTTTTTGTTATGTTTTTTAGTTGAACGTGAAATGGCCAGACAAGTAAACATCAGTCTCAACATGCAAAAATTATATTATGTTGTTGTGTTTAAGGGATATAGCTCGTATGCTAGCAAATGAATACGAGAAGCGTGTAATGATTGTTGACACCTCAAACGAAATTGGTGGTGATGGAGATATTCCTCATGCTGGAATAGGCAATGCTCGAAGGATGCAAGTCCCACATACTGATATGCAACATAAGGTATAAAACTTGCTCTATCCTCTCCAGGACAAAAAAGTGATCATTAAAAAATGCAATGAAAGGTCTCTCTTTAAATGGTGCCTGTGGTTATTGCTATGGAAAACAAATGGTGGCCTAACAGGTGGCTCTTTTTATCCAGTTACAATGGATTCTTAGCTTCATTCCTCCATTTATATGTGAATAGGTGTTCTTGTGATTATTGTAGGTCCTGATAGAAGCTGTCGAAAATCATATGCCACAAGTAATTGTGATAGATGAAATTGGCACTAAGCTTGAAGCTGCAGCTGCAAGTACAATTGCACAACGTGGAATTCAGCTAGTTGCAACAGCTCATGGGGTAACCATTGAGAATTTAGTGATGAATCCGGCTTTGGAGATGCTTGTTGGAGGAGTGCAGGTAATTTTGGAACTAATGTTCTCATCTATAGTTTTCCATCCATGCATTTCGAATTTTACCACACTCGAAAAATCAAATTTAAAAATTCATTATCATTTAGTCAAACTACTGCATACTGAAGCTGATAGTCTTCTACACATAGACTATTGATAAATTGGATAGTTAGGCATTTATGTTTTCACCTGCCTCGTAAAAACTCAAGTCCTTGTTGCTTTATTTTCAGTTCTTTATTTTTTCTCTTGATGGAACAACATTTGTCATTTCTCACATTATTGCTGCTGTCTTTCAGAGCGTGACGTTAGGAGATGAAGAGGCAAGCAGAAGAGGTGTACAGAAAAGTGTGTTGGAGAGGAAAGGACGCTCGACTTTCAGCTCTGGAGTCGAGATAATTTCTAGGACAGAATTACGTGTTCATCGTAGTTTAGAAGCTACAGTGGATGCTGTTCTTTTAGGTTTTTGATTCCTTCTATGTATGAGAAAATGATGCTTACTTATCCTGTAACGTCTT